AACAATGCTGCCAACTTAAATCTCAAAATAGAAAAAAAAAAACTCGCAACTAAAAAATATTCTTCCCTTCAATATGAAAATATGACCGTTATTTTTTAATGATCCATAAAAATTTCTTATAATCAATAAACCAAAAAATTAAAAAAAAAAAAATTAGGTAAGTTAAAATCATTAAATGAAACAACGATGGGAAAAAAAAAAGTGAAAACTTATACAGGAAAAAAATAAAAAAATAAAAAATACTTTTAATTAAACGTATATTTTTTTATATTAATCTCACAATGGTGTAATTTTTTTTTCAAATGTCAAAAACACAAACTATAAAATGATTTAGCGAGCGAAATACTTTAAATAAATTTAAAACAACTAACATTTCTTTTTCTATTTAGTCGATAATCAATCATTAAATTCAATTTTTTTGTTTATCCGTTACAATTTACAAAGTACCCATTCTTAAAACGGACGCGACCAATTAAAAAAAAACAATAATAATAATAATAATAATAATAATAAATACAACAAATTATTAATTTATTTTGAATAAAATCATGTTTGTTAAATAATTATCAATAAATATATTTTAATAAATTGTTTTTAAAACCGCAATTTTTTTTTTTTAAATATCTTCGGGCGTTAATGTAAAAATATTTTAAAATCAATTTCCTTTCACTTTCACATAAGAAAAGAAATTATTAAAAAAAAATGAAACCAAAAAAATAATCAATCAATGAGAAATAATAGCAAATAATAATATTAAACAAAACATTAATGAATAAAATATTTTTATTTTTAATTCGGAATTAATTATTAATAAATATAATTGCTTTGGTAATAAAATTATTATATATATATATTAATATCTTTGATAAAACAATAATTACTTCAGCAAACTTTGCCATTATTTATTTAATAAAATTAAATAATAATAATAATATTAAAAAATTTTAATTTGTATACATAAATAGATATATATATATAATAAAAATTGCTTTAAAAAAAAACGGTACGAAATTTGTAAAACTGTTATAGTACTATCGGAAGGATTACATAAAAATATAAATTAGATAGATAGATAATAATAATAATAATAATAACAATAGTATATAAATCGAGCATGCTTAAATATATATAAACTGTAAAAAAATATATATAATTGTAAGAGTTAAAATTTTTTTTTTTTTTTTAAATCCTTTAAGCTTAATTATAAACTGAATAATATGCAGAACTTTTGTTTTTTCTTGTTTCTTTACGTAAAATGTAATAATAATAATAATAATAATAAGTACAAACCGACCGACCGACCCTTTTCATCAATTTGAGCAACATTTGCATCAATTATATTTATATTGTTTTACTGGATTCGTATTTTCTTTTTTTTTTTATTTAATCAATTATTTCACTGATTATGACATATAATAATAATAAAAGGAAATGATTTTGAAATATTTTTGTAAATATTTTTCGTGGGAATTAAATAATATCCTTTACAAAAAAAAAAAAAAAAAAATTTCGCCGCTAATCTGCTACCGGCCTGCTAAGTTTTGTGTGGGTGTGCGCATGACAATGATTATTACAGAAAGAATTTTTTTTTTTTTTTTTCGACTTACAATAGTAATAAAAGTAATTAATAATAATTACACCGTTAATTTGTTTTAAAAAAAAAAAAAAAAAAAAAACTCCGACTGAATCTCGAGTTTTTCGTAACTGGTAAATAATTAACTACAAACTTTCATTCTAGTAAAGAAGCTGGTTATTCACACTATTTAATAAAAGCGTCGTTCGTTTACTCTCTTTTCCCTCATGCCTCCTTACTCTTGTTACCACATGTGAGTCTCTCTTATTTCACTAATTATAAGATTTGCCTTTTGAAGAGCCTAGAAAATAAAATAAAATTTAGTTAAATTACGAAATTAAATGTAAACTTGATTTGAATTAAAAAAATTATATTTTATTATTGATCGGCGGAAATCAATAAGATGCAATTTCTTACTTTAAGCATGTCTGCCGCTTCTTTTCTTCTTTGAGCAATATGCTCAGATTCGTTCAATAGTTCTTCGGCTTGATCTGATTTGTATAAATGTGTCACGAGCTCTGATTGTAAATTATCTTTTACGTAATTCACAAGGAAATGCATAACCGCTTTTGGTACGCTGTCTTGTATGGATTTTCTAACGATGTAAAAATAAGTGTGGATTAATCTCTCTAAAAAATGAAAACAAAAATTTTTGTTATTATTAAAATATTTTCGTGTAAACTCAATTGTTGTTGTTTCTGATATCCAATCAAAATTACCGATAACGTCACAATCTCTTTGTTCTCTTTCCGTCAATCTTCTCCCTGCTTGCGTAGGTACTTCGGGCAATAGATTTACAGGTTTTTGAGGGCTGAGTATATTTTTAACTTCCGAGGATTGTTGAACGTTGGCGATTCCATTGACTTGTGCTACTTGATTGTTAGATGCAGAATGAACCGGTGTAGGTAAAGGAGAGTTATCGGTAGAATTGGCGTTGTTATGAATAGAACCGATTGAAGCTATTTGAGAGAGCCAATTACTTGAAGGTGATTCAGAAGTCTTGAAAGGAAAAATAAAAATATATTCGGTATTGATTTAATTTAAATATTAAAGAAATAAAAAAATAAAATTATTGCTTAAAAGTATTAAAATTATACAAACTTTTGTTTGATGGTGGCTCTTTTCGGTGTCATTTGTTGATCCTTGAGTTAGTGCAGGAATCATCGGTTTGTTGTGAGCCAATGAATCTACTTTATATGCAGCCATAGCCGCATCCCTGTGAAAATCTGGATGTTTGGTATTAATATAAGCAAGTTCGATAGCGACCAAGTTTTCAACCTAAAAATTATATAGTCCAATTATAAATTTTAAAATAAAAATTCTCCTTTTTAGTAATTTTAAAAAAGAAAATAAGATGTTCACTACCATTTGATTAGTAGTAGGTAACCTTCTTCTTAATAAATGTGTAACGACATCAACAATTTTCTCGTACAATTTTGGAAATCGAAGCATTTCCTGCTGTACTTCAACTCCGCAATGTTGAATGATCCTTTGC